ATGTACTTGCTGACAAATGTCAAAGTCCACAAAGGTTAGGTTTTCGACTCCTGTAAAGAGTTCAGTGTTGTAAACCCACAGAGATAGTTGTACCCTATCCTATAGGGTCGCTGTGAGTAGGAATTGACTCAAAGGTGGTATTATTATTATATACAATTAGATATTATTATTATTATATTATGGATTACAGCTCAACATAGAGAAAACATTGATCTTCACCACTGGATTATCATGGTAAACACATAATAGATTGTAGTTGTCAAGGATATTTTTTTTTTTTTGAGTCCACAGTCAACACTGATGGGAGCATCTGTCAAGAAATCAAATGATGCGCTGCATTGGGCTAGGCTGCTCCACAGGCCTGTTTCAAGTGTTCACGAGCAAATACGTCCCTTTAGGATGAACGTGCGCCTTGCTCAAGCCATGGTATTTTCAGTGGTCTGTGTGCTTGTGGCGCTAGGACATGAATAAAGCAGACCACCAAAGAACCGATGCACTTGAATGATGACGTTGGCCAAAAAAGCTTTGAAAGCACAATGGACTGTGGGAAAAATAAGCAAATCTGTCTGAGTTGGGGAAATACAGCCAGACTGCTCCTTAGAAAAGAGGAACGACTTCATCTCCAATACTTTGGACATAAGATCAGGAGAGACAAGTCTTGCAAAAGGACATCATGCTTGGAAAAGTCGAGGGGCAGCAAAAGAGAGGAAGACCTTTGATTAGGTGGATTGACACAAGGGTTTCAACAATGAGCCGAAACAGAACAAGTTAAAGATGGCCAGGGTCATGGGGTCTCTCCTGGTTGGAATTGACTCAAAGCGGTGGCAACCGTATGTACATCGCCATTGACTTCATGGAAATGTTTTCTGAAGGTGTGGGATACCACATTCTCCAGTGGCCCAATCCCTAAGCTGAAAGATGACCCAAGATTAGGAATGCTGGATGGCACTTTCAAAAACTCTTCCAGAAAGGGAATGTATGGCGGGGGTGAGGAGAAAGAATCCACTAGAGGAGACAATGAGAAATTGTCCAGCACCATAAAGACAAATGTGAAATTTAGCTTCATATAAACCGATTAGAAGATTTGGAGAAAGCACAAGGAAGCAGTGCTTTGTTCCTTCAGCAGAATTTTAAAAGGGACCGAAACTTCTAAGAGATTGTTATGTAACGTCTAAGGAATGACGGCATTGCTGTATCTGGAAGCAGACTTGCAGATATTTTTATCTTATCTATTGCCAATGCATTATGACCCATCCTGGCATGGAAAACTCTCTGTTGCTTTCTTGAGTATCTCACTGAAAATGAAGTACGTACATTCCAGTTGTGCAGAAAGCACATATTTAAGATGCACTCCCTTTTACAAAGGCCAATTTATAGAATGGTTTTCTATAAATCTGCCAAGAAAGGTTTTCATGGAAATCTGATAGGTGTGATTACATAAGGTCTTTACATTTCTGTGTTGTTTGCTTCATGTAACCCCATCTTTATCCTAAAGACGATAATGGTAACCCTCCAGGCCTATTGAGAGAAACAGACATTCTGAGTGACAGACATTCACTGGCAAACTAAACAATACTTATTGTCCTAGATTGGGCTTAACTAACTAGTGAGTGAGATCTCTAAAGCCCTTGAATAGTTTAAAAATTCCAAATATGCATGTGTATTTACAGAATGGTGGAGTAATGTGGGGGTATTAGCCCACACAATTGGTTGGGTCCAAGGGGGTTGTGTAATTGAGGGGTAAAATTACAGAGATGTCAGACAAGATGAAGCATGCAAGTGCCCACCTTTGCAGTCAGGACTTCAGGAGGAGCCAGGTCCACACAGAGAGAGAATATATTTCCAACCAAGACTTATGCGCATGCAAGCCCCCCTAATTACAGGTAACCACATATGTAACAAAGTGGGCTGTACCCTAACCCTAAAGGTCCCTGAATATTATTGGAGGAGTAACCTAACACCAGTGTCCAGGGCAGGTAAGGGTGAGTGGCTGTCTTCAGAGCCCAGAGAACAATGGCCTACTTCTGCCTCTAGAGCTAAAGCTGCAGACTACATAGCAATCAGCCATGTGCATGTAAGGTAACTTTAAGGTAGCACTATTATGGGAGGATATAATGGGGAGCATTATTAATTATGAGAATGTGATTGAGAATCACCTCTAACTCACAAGGGTGAAGGCCTCCCTCCACCCCAGAAACCCAGCCTGCCAGGCTTCTTAATATATGAGAATAAAGGATTCATCCATATGCACTCTCTTCCCGTTCTCTGCCTCCCACAAAATAAGATTCTTAATCTCATAGAAACTCTTTGCGAGTCAATAGATCTTTCTTTCAAAAGTATATTGGGAATCCTAACAACTTCCATTAATGATATTGTGTTTAAAATTCTGGTGTTGATTATGTCTGTCTTAAAGTATAGATATTACTAGATAACAATTTAGGAAGTATACGGAAGCTACTCTACAGAGACTCAAGTGCAAGTGTGGCATTAAAAACTTCGGTGAGAGATAAGTGAGTATATCCTTCCCTAAAGTCTGCAGGCAGGGTAGCAGGGACGTCTCTGCAGGCCACTGAGACCCCTTCCTCACTTCCAGTCACACCCATTTTCCCATCACCCGGAGGCCCGCTCTCTATCGTCAAGGACTGCCTTGAACAAAGACATGTGCCTTTATCTAATGGGCAGTTCCTTTTCATGAAAGGTTTTAATGCTGAATTTCGTTTTTCCAGTTCAGCGATACTGGCATTTGGGGTCAGATCATTCTTTGTTGTCAGGGTCTGTCCTGGGCATGCATTGTTGTCCATCACGTAGCATGTTCTGGCGTCTACTCACTAGATACAGTCAAGAATGTCTCCGCCTACTGCTACATATCACCTGCGTGGGTGATTAACCAGCGCCAGTTGCCTCCAAGTTGATTCAAACTCATGGTAACTCCATGTGTGTCATACTAGAACTGCCTGGATTGTGTTTCCAATGGCTCATTTGGGGACTTCTTAGAACCAGATCTTTTCTCTGAGGCACATCAAGGTGTATTTAAACTACCAACCCCTGTATTTGCAGCTGAGCACAGTAACTCTGTACCACCCACAAACTCTTGATCGGTTGATTAGGGGCCATAATCTGACACACACCCCAGTTAAGAGCCACTGCCTCAGATGATATTAAAAATAATAACAGTTCCAGGTGCAGTCACACCCTTAGCGATCTCAAGCTAAGACCTTGTTGAACTTCATTCATTTGTTCATTAGACATTTACTGAATGCACATTTGCATTTATGTGTCTGCACAATGGATGAGACAGAGACCTCCCGTGGAGTTGCTTACAGTTTAGTGGGGGCAGAGAGACATAAACAAGAATGACAGTAACTTTAAGTCAGAGGTTTTCCACATGTTGGGGAGTGAAAAATGAGACAGATGAGTGAGCCCTTGGGTAACCTGGTATCAGGAGTGTGTATATGTGCTGTGTATACCGCATGTATATCACATGCACGCATACAGTTGTCACAGGGCAAGGGGTCTGCCAGCTTCCTGACTTGCTTGTGAAGGGCTGTGCCTCTCTAGCCTCTCCGTGTCTTGAGAAGCTGAAGGTGAGCCAATCTTTTGCTTTCTCAGACTCTTAAACTGATCTCAGTCCCACTCCTGTATGTGAAGACCTGGTGAAGAAAATATAGACCACTGGAAATAACTAAGGTTATTCCTTACACGTCAAGGGAGCCCCACTTTTTAAAACTCTTCTCCTACTTTTGACCAAAGTAGGTCATTCCCTGACAAACAAAAGGCCAAGAGTTTACCCTGCAAACAATCCAAAGTCCTGTTCAATTACCCTTTAGCATGATCAAAACTATAAAGTGAGATAGCGTTTGATTGCAATCCTCTCCCTTTCCCTTCTAATTTAAAGGAACATTCACAGAGAATGCAGATCAATATTTTGACATATAGAACAAAGACCTATATCTTCAATCTCTTTATCACAAGCAAAGGCAGACGTTGTGGGTAGTGACTTGTTTTGTGAATCAGTACTGCCAGCTTTTACAAAAGGGAACGGTTGCTTCTTCAGTTTCCAGTGGCATTACTCTAGCCCCTTGGGTTTCCTTCAGCTCCTGCCACTCCTAGTCCCTGTTACCTTTCGATGTGTCTTATGGAAGAAAACACTGTCTCTTCTAGACAATCAGACTCTCTTGGTTTTGTATTGACACTCAGCACTCTTTTGTAAATGAGCATATTTATGTCTGAGTCACAGCTTCGGTGCATTCAAACAAGCTATCTAATGTTGGTTGTTGAAATAGCTGGCAAGTTTGGCGTTTGTATTATATAAACATTTTTTAAAGTAATTTTATTGGCATATACTTCACACATCATACAACTTAATCATTGGATCCTATTAAGAAGACTTAAGCAATCATCACCACAATCAATTTCAGAACATTTTCTGCTCGTTCTTTTCACCATTACCTCCCACTACCATGAATTTACAGGACAATTTGATGAAACAGTTTGCATCTAACAATGCTTCATGAATTACTCTTGAGGAAGCAAGTAGCACTGAGGCCTTAGCATAACCGCCCCCTGAAAAGCAGACATCTACCATCCACATGGGTGTGAGATGAACCTGCTGTGGGCAGTTACCACCTGACAAGTGTCCCTGGTCCACCACACCTGGAGATTTGTATAGAGACTGTGATCACAGAGACGAGAAGCCACAATGAACAGGGCAATATTAATGATCCCAGGCTCAGGTAGCCTTTCTCTTCCTTGTGAAAGTGCAGGTTCCGCAGACTACTGCCCTTTTGCTTGGCCGAAGGAGATACGGGTTTACAAGTTCTGCCACCAGGAGCACTGCTGGCAGCAGCAGGCTGGAATGGACAGGAAGTGTGGCAGAGATAAGCAATATTTATTCTGCTCCAGAGGCAGCAGCAAGGTTAGAATATTCTCAGGCGCAATGCTAGCCTTTGGAGTCATTCAACTCCATTCTATTTCGCAACCAGAGGAAAATATTCTTGTAATCATGCTACGTTATCATTTTATTTCATAACAAATAGTGGTGGAGAAGATCTTCAGCCATTATTTCTCATTGCCACCTCCCAGTCATTAAACACTGAAAGTACGGCAGGCGTGGGCACTAACCTCGGTAGCTGTGTGTACATGGTCTCATTTTAGCCTTTTACACTTGAGGCTACCGAAGCTCAGTATTTCAATTGAACGCAGTTTCTATGTCTCTGTTATATAACTTGCACTGAAGACTTGGCTCTTCACCGCCACCGCGCTGGTGACCTCACCGAAGAGTGTCCGGCATCTTTCGTGTTTTCTCTAGAATCCAGTCCAGATACTCAGCCACTTTGGTATAGACACCTGGCTGCTCCTTGCGGGCACAGCCTCCACCCCAACTGGTGATGCCCACTAAATGCCAGATCCCAGTGTGTTTACACACTAGGGGGCCACCTGAATCTCCCTGCAAAACAGTGGGTGGAGGAAGAAAATGACTAAAAGTGATGACAGAAGTGATTCACGTAAGTAATTAATTACTTTCAAAATCATGTTCTCTCTCTCTCTCTCTCTCTCTCTCTCTCTCTCACACACAAACACACACACACACACACACACTTTCTTAGTCTTTCCATCACCTGTTGAGTCTTATTAGCTACTGGATGTGCTGAAACAGTCTGAGCAATGTGCCAGATTTCATTTACTCCCTTTTCCATTCTGAAGAAAGTTCAATAAACAAATGTTGACATCTTCATTCCAGTATATACTGGGATGTATATGATTTATGGATGATCAAAAAATATTTTATAAAGTTAATCATGGGAATTTAATGTTCATACATTTTAGGATCCTTATCTTACCACTGCCACCCGGTGCTTTGGACTCTAGTGGCCCTGCGTAGAGTGTCGGAGGCTGTCCCTTGTCCCTGGCACAGCTGACCCTGTGTACAAGGGTCCTTCCTTACAGACCACACGTCCTCACAAAGACGAGGGCAAGCACATATTCACCTGGTTCAGGGTTATGTATGAAAGCATCAGCTCACCTTGGCTCTGAATTATGTTGTTTAACTCTAATGAAATATACTATCAGAAACTATTCCGAGGGTGAGATTTCTGCTGCAGCCTCGCACTCTTTCCTACCTTACAAGCATCTGTTCCTCCTTCCTTGTAGCCAGCGCAGATCATCTGCTTGGTTATTTCATAATCTCTGTATCTTGTCTGGCATTCTTCATTGGATACCAAAGGGATTTTTGCTTTTTGCAGAATACTTTGGATTTCTCCTATAATGTAAACAACATTAAAGCGAGAGAGGAAATACCGTAGATATAAAAACAATAATAAAGTCTCCAGTGATGGTGTGCTTTTCATTAAATCATAGGTTCAGATAAAAAAGTTACAGGATAAAGTTACACACACACACACAAGAGTAAGAATGAGCGCTAGTGAGAGAGCGAGCGAGAGCAATGTTTTAACTTGGCTGTCTGTTAGGAGCAGCACAGTACACAGGCTGAGCAGAGCTTAAAGTTCCATATTCTCTGGCATCCTCTGGTCTCAGTATAAATACTGAAGAAATTCCCTCCCCTATTGATTGTCTGGTGGCCCTAGAGGTTCAACATTGGGCGGCTAACCATAAGGTCAGCAGTTTGAAACCACCAGCTGCTCCAGAGGAGAAAGATGAGGTGTTCTGCTTCATAAAGAATTAGTCTTGAAAACTCACAGGGCAGTTTTTTCCTTCCTTATGGGATCACTATGAGGTGACATGGACTCAATGGAGTGTTTTTTTTGAACTTGCCTATAATTATAAAGCCTAAAATTCCTTAGTTTTCAGTGTTCAGGTTCATATATTTAAAACAATCATTTAAAACATTATTTCTGAAAACCCTCTAAAATCTTTGTCAAAGAGCAATATTTTTTCTTCAGCCATTCTGAGTTAACATTTTCCACGAAGAGCTGCTTTTTAAAGGTACTTCATTAGCATCTGTGTGTAGACGCTCCCTGGTGTTGGGTCTTTCCCTGTTCCTTAAAGTGACTTCTTGTATCAAAATAGCAGTGGAAACTAGGAATACTTGACTTAGTTGAGTGGAGGCTGAGTAAGTAAAGACGAAGATATTTTATCTGCTTGTCTAAAGAATGTGGAAGATATTATTTTCTATTGCATATATCAGGAACATAATTTTGGAAAAGGGAATTACCTAAAATGTACCAGGATAATTAAAATATCCAAATACCCATTAGCAGGGGTTCTTAACCCAGGGTTCGTCAAAAGAATTCAGAGTCCACTAACTTAAGATAGGAAACAAAATACATATTTATTTTCACCAACATCTGCCCTAAGCCTATCATATCCTTCAATTATGAATGTAGGCAACAAAGCACAGTAGTATTAGCCATATTTCTGACTTTGGTATCGATAGAGACCATAGATTTCTTCATATGATGTTACATTTGTGTTATCATTTATCAAATCTAATTACTAGAATCATAGTAGTTATTAGTCATTAGAATAGCTATTAAATTTTGCTTTTTAATGTATTAATAAATAAATACGCATACTATAATATCACATACTTTAAGTAATCTACTAACTGCATTCAATGTTATTGATTTCCTCTCTGATCCTATTTATTTTATGCATCCCAAATGATAATTTGAGAAGTTTTTCATGGGCTTCATCAGATTTCAAATAGTGTTCATTTAAAAAAATAAAGAAGCTGCCAGAGAGAAAGACAACATATCTATCTATCCTCTATTACTATGTAGTGAGAAAAATAGTATTGGGAAATGGATTCACTAATAATATTGAACACAAGATTGTCCTGAGTACACTATGTTGGCCCAGTTCTTATGTGAACCCAAGTAAATGAATTAAAATGCTTAAAATGTTCTTATAAGGTGTTTTGTTTTGTTTTGTTGCAGACCTAGTCAAAAATACATCTTCTCAACAATCACTGAATCAATATTTGGCAATGACTAAAATGGAAAGATCAGGAGTTTGGGTATACTTTTAGATAGAGGCTAATTAAAATAACCCATTCCATATGTTGGAGTGAGAGCCTTATGACTGACATTAAACGCCATAAAGTACCTTGTTCTTTGGTGAAACCCCAACCAGTGATCCAGCAATTGGTATAAAATGTGTATATATCATCTTTGGAAGGCAAGCATATTGGTTTCTGGAATTCTGAAGAATAATTTTAAATTAGAGTTTAATTAAATGCAGTTATGGATATTAGCTTTAAAAATACATTGCTTCCTCCCACCACATTTTTCTTTCTGTAGTAGAACAAGAGTATCTCTTTTATGCTCAACTTCTAAGGTCCATGATTCAAGAATTTATTTTTTATTTTTTTATGAGGACTTATTTGCACTTGATATGCTTGGAGTTATATTTTTATTATGCTATTACTTTGCCTGAGCTTCTTTCTGCACCAGTCTCTTCTACATAAGGCAAAGGCTCTAATATATATATATACTTTTTTTTCTGGTTCCTAATGCCCTTCTCTATTCTTAATGACCCTAAACCCAAAGTAGTAATGATTCTGCTGAGCTGGTCACAGGGAGGCCAATGTTTCCCAAATGGAAAAGGCTCTGTCTATTGTTTTAATGGTGTTACAATGCTAGGCATAGTTAGTACTGTAATGAAAATATCTTGTCCTTTAAATAGAAAGATTGTGTGTGTGTGTGAAGTCACACACTTTTAACTTCCCTGATAATCTACCTTCCAACAGCAATAACCAGATAATAAAGCTATCCTGTCTGGATTTTGTTCTCTCATTTAAATTGATGTGCAAACTTAAACCAACACATTTCAGCTATAAATATTCTACATACCAGTATAATTCAAAGGAGTTTCGAGTTTTACTAAGGCAATATCATGATCACCTTCTGAGATTTTATAATGTTCGTGAATAAGAATCTCTTTTACTTGTGAGAAAGGTGTTTCTTTTGTTATCTCAGATAGGTTTAAAAGGCCGCCATAAACACGCCAAATGTCTGGTGAGGAAAGCCTAAGGGGGATAAAACCAGAAAGATTGACCTTAATAGTGTTTCTCTTCCCCTTCCCTTTCTCTTTCAGACAAGAACTGGAAAGTAAATGACACCTTATCAATACATCTCGTAATTTTCCAGTGAGTTGCTGTTGTCATTGATAGTTCACCTATCAGAAAAGTCAGTCAAGAAAGGGCAACTTGCCCAAGGTCATACCCCGGGTCACTGACCAAGCTGCAACTCAATCTCTATTGTAGCTATCTACAAAGCCTATGTGGTTTTGCTTTTTTATTGGCGGCTCTTACAGCTCTTATCACAATCCATACTTATTTTATAGCCATTGTCTCAAGCACATCTGTGCATATGTTGCTATCATCTTTTTCAAAACATTTTCTACTTGAGCCCTTGGTATCAGTTCCTCATTTTCCCTTCCCCTCCACCCCCGCTCCCTCCTTCACTCTACCTCCCCCATGAACCCAATTGTTTTTCATGTCTTACACCCATTGCTGTCACCCTTCACCCACTTTTCTGTTGCCCGTCCCCCTGGGAGGGATCCATAGGTCAATCATTGTGAGCAGTTCCCCCTTACTCCCCCTGCTCCCCACTTCCTTCCCATACCCTCTTGGTATCGCTACTCCCATTATTGGTCCTGAGGGGGTTATCTGTCCTGTGTTTTAAGCTCTTATCTGTACCAGTGTACATGCTCTAGTCTAGCCAGATTTGTAAAGTAGAATTGGGGTCATGATAGTGGGGGGAGGAAGCCTTAAAGGAAGGTTGTGTGTTTCATCAGGGCTATACTGTACCCTGATTGGCTCATCTCTTCCTTGTGGCCCTTCTGACAGGGGATGTCCAATTGACTACTGATGGGCTTTGGGTCTCCACTCTGCCCTCTCCCTCATTCCATCAATATGATTTTTTGTTTTGTGTCTTTGGTGCCTGATACCTGATCCCATCGACACCTCTTGATCACACTGACTGGAGTGCTTCTTCCATGTGGGCTTTGTTGCTTCTCAGCTTGATGGCTGCTTGTTTATCTTTAAGCCTTTAAGACCCCAGACAAAGCCTAAGTGTTTTAAAACTATGCCATGTGTACCACTTTTCAAATGGTAATGGGAACTATTACATCATAGTATATACATTGAAAGATAAAGGCTAATAAAGTATCTCGTTTGTCTTCATTGTTGTTGATATTACTTATCTAATGCACTTATGAGTCTTAAAGCAGAAATTAATATTTCTGTGATCCTGAAAAAGGACTCTTTGCTGCCTTTAAGGAATATATGTAGGTAGTGGGGTGGAGCAAGCAAGCGTCAGTTAAGGCGTATGTGAGCTGTTATTTAAAGAGGAGTGATAGCTTTTCCCTACAAGCTCCGGTCTTGCACACAGGCTAGTTTGTCCGGATCAATCAGACTACTTCGTGTTCGGGTCCTATTGATGCTAGATATGTTGAGTACCATCCCTATTTAAAAGTACCTCTTATTACAAAGAGAATAACCCAGTAAACTCACATGATGACCAGAGATTGTGTATCGATCCTTCAAATACAATGGCAAAATAAGGCTCTGGATATAACTCATCTGAAACTTACCCATCAAAGCAATGGGCAGCCGTCAGGATCCAATGCTGTCCAATGATGGACCCTCCACATAGGTGGCTCTGGGTTTTCAGTGTCGCCTGCAAACTGACCTGCCAGGGCCATTCTCCCCAGGTAGAGTCGGTTCCTCCAACGATGCGTGCATTTGCATTTGTTGTACAGACTAAAACGAGAGGGTTGAAGCTAATGATTACAATGACATATGAATCTGATCCTCAAGAATGGAATCGAGGCGAGGTCAAACTCGAGAGACAGTGATTGCATTGATGATTTCTTGGAGGGCATGGCGGGGAGGTTGCGGGGAAGTGGTGGGCTGACAACAATGAGTATAAGAAGGAAGAATGAATGGTCTAATATTGATTGTGGAGATGATGGTGCAGCCCTTTAATATGATCGGACTTGCTGAATCATATGAAATGTGAAATTCCATATGAAATTCCATAATACAAGACTAAAAATGTTAACACACACACACAGAGTGCTAAAGTGAGGTCCACTCACCAGAGTGGTTCACGGTTTTACAAAGTCTCAAAGAATAGCCAGAGCTCCCCTTTGTTCCGTGTGTAATCGCGGTTGGAGAACCATCCACAGATAATTTTAAAGAACACTTACACCTGGATAAAGGAAGCAGCGCACAGATTAAACCTCTGCCGAGATGAAAATACACGCAATGGTCCTGAAGACGGCCTTTGGAAACCAACGCGTCACTTACTTCTCGCCTTGACAGTCTTTCGGGAGTAGAGAATAAGTGAAAAACTGACAGCGAGCCATCTTGGTACAAGTCTCCTGGCAAACATTCACATCTTTAACGAAGGTCACATTCAACTCTTCCCCTCCGAAATCAACTGCGGCGTAGATGTTAGAGTGGCAGAGTTCTGTGCCAGGTACAAACAGTGAAAGATAAACAAGGAAGGGAAAGGAATGTGCCTCTGATATGAGGACTTTTATTCTATAACTAATACTTGGTTAGAAAATCATAAGATGTATCGTCTTATGTGTGATATTATGATATTACCAGGCAAATGTCTTTTGCAGGTTAAAATGCTGTATCCAGATGTGGCGTTTGGCTGTGGAGTAGAGAAAGTCGGTGTCCCACTTCTGGAAGTCTTAAGGAAGCAAACATTTCTATTAAAAATAGAGGAAAAGAAAGAAAGGAAATGGCATTAGAAGCATTAGACAAACACCATAGCACTTAATAAAAAAATCAGCTCTACAAACTTCATTCTTCTGAGAAATCCTCTTCAGGGTAATTCAGACTACAGAACACTAATAAATTATAGAGATTAAATGTAAATCAAGCCAAAATCTCCCTGTGGAGAAAACTAATCAACATCGACAGCCTGACTAGAGAAGAATGGTAAAGGGGCACCTTTTAATTGAAAAAGAAAAGAGAAGAATGTGGGGCTTTATGCAGCTGATGCTATTAGGTAAGGACCTGCCCTTCGCTTGGCCCCACGCTGTGTGGAAAGAATAGAAATGGGTGCTCCGAGGGCAAGGAGGTCCAGGGAGAACCTTGATCAGGATACACAGAAAAATGAGAGCCAGTACGTTTCACTGATGTGCTGCCAGGGAGAGGTTTTCATTTCAAGGTGATACAACACACTACACAAAACCCCCAACTTACTGCCATCGAGTCAGTGTCAGCTCATAGGGACCCCACAGGCAGTGGAGAGCTGCCCCTGTGAGTTTTGGAGACGGCGCTAACTCTTGCTGGGCATGCAAAGCCCTGTCGTCGTCCTCAGTAAGGGCAGAACAAAAGGCAATAGCCCCTTTTCTCTATTTCCTCCTCCCCAATGACTGTGGTTTCTTTAACCCAATGGAAGATTTGTTTTAAACACAATAGTGGAAGAGCCCTTGTGGTGAAGCGGTCAGGCCTTGGGCTGAGATCTGCATGGGCAGTTCGAAACTACCAGCAGCTCCAAGGGAGAATGACTAGGCTTTCTACTCCCATAAACCGTTGCCATTTGGGTCACTGTGAGTCAGCACTGACTTGATGGCAGTGAGTTAGTTCATAAACAGAAAAGCAGCTACTTCCACTGCAGAGACAATTGCCTAGTCTAGAGGAAAATAGGCAAAGCATTAAAAACATAAAATGAAAGTTATGAAATCAGAGCAGCCTGTAGTCCAGCTTCATGCTCACCTTTGTGATTGTACATTCCAGGTATTTGTATAGAATGTAAAGAAGAAGCACTTGGGATGATAGGTACAAATGGTCTGACATACAAATGGGTCTGGAGTGACAACTTGGGCAACATCCACATCGGAAAATGCAAGGTGTTGGAAAATGTTCATGCGGCAACCTGTAAGCCCACAGAGCAAAGATGTTAGTCAGTGACTAACGTGTCCACTGTGTGTACTTCATCATCAAACTGTGGAAATTGTCATTGTCTGTTGGTCATAATGCTAAACAAACTAAATGAAAACAACAACAACAAAAAGTCTGCTAAAATATCCCCAAATCAGTTTAACCTATTTAGGTTTCTTCATAGAGCATGCCTTTATATTTCCTTTATAGTAACCTGCCCTCAATCCTGGGCTTTAAGAACATGAGACTTTGAGCTACATTTCCCTGAATTTAATGAAAAATGATGACTCAAAACTAACAAAATTATGGGACAGCCAACAAAAAGGCCATGCGGGTGCTGATGCTGGAGCAGGGAAAGCCACTTTCTGTCTGCTTATATCAATCTTATTTCTTAATCCTCTTACATTTGTGTCCACATTTAGTCAAATGAATCATCAATAAATATGCATTCTATTAACATTTTGGAAGACTTAAAAATAATGATAGCAATGATAGGAAAAACAGACCCAGATATAACTTAAATGAACATACATGGGCCAAAAGGACTACACTTTTACCACTGTCATAGTAACCGTCTAGGAAATTGGATATTAATTGATTTTTGTAAATCTTGAAGCAGTGATCATGCATGCCAACCTACAAATACATCCTCTCATTAGCATTTCTGAGACTGCTTCTGCTTGGACTCTTATCATAATAATGTGCTCCAATTGTCTTCTGGGTCTCAAGTGGTGGGATTTTAAAAATATTATTTTCTTCAGAGTAGTATCTACCTAGGTATACCGTATGGCATCGCATGTGTTAAGGTCTAAGCCTTTTTACAATGAGAGCTTCTCCAAGAAATTTAAGATCACTGTCTAGACACTATGTTAAACTTTTCCTTAGGTTACCATGTCATCCTCGGAAAAGTTCTATAATGTTTCATCGCTACGTACAAAAAGTCTGGCCAGTGTAGTGGACAAAATAAGCATTGCCTCTTTGTTCTAAAGATTTTAAAAAATAGTTGATTTTTGTTTGTTATGACTTCCAACCGTTTTCTCCTTTATAAAAGAAATGAGAATATTGACCAAAAATTATTCAAGTAAAATTTTTTCAGAATTTTAGAATTTAACAAAAGGCTTAAAAACATCTGAGGAGCAATTATTTAAGGAAAAGGGCTGAGTGTCAATAAGGACATGCGGTTGGCGGTGTTTTCATTTCTTCTAACCCTGTTCTTCTCTCCCTAATTCAGTGGTATGTGTGCAGATCAACAGTCCTGAGATCATGGAGAATTCCCGTAGTTTAATAGATGCTGGAGGAGAATAGGGCTCGATCAATTCCATACAAAGGATTATTGTCATTATCTGGCTGTTTTCTAGGAAGTCTCATTTGTAAGACTTGGCTTCCACTAACCACATTACAAGCTTCTCCAATGCTAACAGTCTATTTTTATGGACATTTGGAGGAAATTAGTGGCAATTGCTTAACATTGCCATTGACCGAAGCAGCAATGACAACCGGAGCAGACAATAAACTGATAAAAAAAAGTGTGGGTGGGGGTGGGGGAGGAGTCCAAAATTAACTTAAAAAGAGAGCTATGGGAATGAAATGTTCATAAGGGAGTTTGGAAACCTTGAAGTTATTCTTGGAATCCAGAGGGCCAGACGCATGCCTTGGCTGTATGCATCCCCAGGAAAGAGAGAAAGACAGATGGGATGTCTGACTGACCTTGAACTCTATGAAGGCTAATGCAGAGTAGTAAATGGCTACCCAAATATTAAAGGCATGCCCCAACACTGGGCAAAGGTTGGGAGGCTATTGCCAGAGGTACCTAAAGAAATATCTGTCCAATAATGCTAGCAGAGCAGACTTCATCACACATGTCACAGGAAATCGACTCTTACGAGAATTCATTCCAAAAAGTCACTAAACGAATAGCAACAACATCAATAACAAAGAGTTCTGGGGAAGGAAAAAATCGGATTTCCAAAGGTTCCATGTTATAATATGTAACCTCCTCCCCCCAAAACGTCCCTCCTGTTGAGTCAATTCTGACTCAAAGTGATGCTAGGTAAGAGAGAAGAGAATGGCCCATAGGGTGTCCGAGGCTGTAAGTCTTCATGGAAGCAGACTGCCAAGTCTTTCTCCTGCAGAACAGCAGCGTGCTTCGTCAGTGCAGGACCAGGGCTCCTAGATTGTTGAAGAGGCCTAATTTATAACAAAAGTTATAAGACATGCATAAAACAAGTAACGATGCCCCATATAGGGAGGGGTGGGTGGCAGTCAATGTAAACTATTCATGAAGAAAAATACATACTAGATGTACTAGACAAGATATTAAGTTAGCTACTTTAAATATGTTAAAAAGGAAAAGAAGCCATGTGTAAATCGCTAAAGGAAATTATGAACATGATATTTGTTAAAATAGAGAATCTAGTTAGTAAGCTATAAGTTAATTAAAAATTATTAAAAATCCATAAAAGGTATTAAGGGATTAATTAAAATGTCAAGGTAATACATTAGTAAATAAACAAACAACCCAAAATATAAATTCTGGACCAAAAATCACTAAAGCATAAATAACAATTTCATTACTATAGACGGTTAATGTAGGATTTCCATGGTCAATAAGTAGACTGTTAATAAAATAAAATAAGCAGATTGCAATGGGGTTTTTAGTGGGTAGTGCATTACCACAAACTTAGTGGCTTACAAAAAACTAATGTATTATGTTCCAGCCTGAAAGTGAAAATCCCACAGTGGGATTTATGGGGCTAACGTCAGGGTGTCATTGAGATGCCCTTCCTTCTCAGGTTGCTCCAGAGGAGACTGTTGATGTGCCCTTTCCAGATTCCAGAAGCCTCCCCCAACAAAATGATCTTTTTAATAATAAATGAATAAACAAAAATGAAAGATTAAAACAAACAAACCAGAAGCAACCTGCACGCCTTGGCTCTGCTTCCTACTCCATCTTCAAAGGTGGCCATGTGCCACATTCAAATCTCTTATCAGGACATGCCATCCTCTTTATCTTGTGAGGTCCCTGGGAATGCCCCGGAAGCACCTGGATAACCCAGGATCATCCTCTACTTCCCAACATCCGGAGCTTGCCCACGCCCCTTTTGTCAGAGAGGAAACCATAGCCACAGGTTCCAGGAACCAGATCAGACACTTTGGGGAGGCGAGGGAAGGGGTTGGGGGAAAGAAGGTAGTAGGAAGGGAGGTGGGGAATGTCTTTATTCTGCCTACTATAATCACAGAGTAAAATAATAGCCTTATAATTACCTAGTTCTGAGCGTGCACAGGGCTTCAGCGAGAATCCAGATATCACGTTATCCAGCATATTTATACTGGTAGGTGTTCCTCTTGGACTAGTCTTTAATAAACAGTTGTTCCTGAATATGAAGACAAAGGTGACTTTGCCGCCTATACTGCAGGGTGCATGCCGCAGCACAAATATTTAGCAGGGAAATGAAGATGAGTAGTGGGAAACGAACACTACGAAACAATGACCGTGATAATGAGTGAACCAGAGGTTTGTGTGTTTAAGAAACGGGCATCCTTTCACTCTGAAGCAGTACGGTTATAATGGGAGAAATCACAATTTTGATGACTTTAAGCTCCTAATTTAATGAGCACAGTGTATCTGTGGACCAAATGATTCTTCCTCTTTTCAAGAAAAATGACATCAAAACTAAGTAAATAAGGTGAGTGGTTGGGTCTAAAATCTTTTTTGTTTGGGGTTTTGAGAGAGAAAGCAGGGAGAGGTGGGAGGAGAAAGGCGGACGATTCTGAAGAATATAATGGAACCCTGAAGGGCACCTGCAAGAAGCAGCGCTGTGCAGTTTACTCACCGGAAGTCTGCGTTGTGGAACGATGCCGTGGCATACGTGAAAAAATGGCAGTGAATGTTATTGGTACAGCTCTTCTGGCATTCGCCAACACTGCTAACTTTAGACACATTCAGGTTGACTCCCTTCATATCGATTCCATTATGAACCTCTCCATAGCAAGCTACACAAATGAGACATATGGGGCAATTAGTTACCTTCTCTTCTAGAGACAGGTCATCAACTGCGTACCCATTTGAGTATGATCATTTATCATTTTAAAGGATATCCCATTTGGGACAACATTTCTATTATTTGTTGTTGTTTTTATTGTTGCTAGGTGCCACCAGTTTGGTTCCCAACGAATAGTGACTCTACGTGCAACAGTTTATGTACAATAGAAACACTTCTATTTTTAAGGGTTCTAATATGTTTGTTAATTGTGTTAGTCTAGATAGACTAGAGAGACAACTCTACAGAAACTATGGAACTATATAAGAGGGAGTTTCATATAAATGGTAAGTGTACATAAAGAAAGCATCCCAATCCAGTGCTGTCCAAGCCCATAAGTCCAACATTAGTCAATATGTCTGATACCGATCTACAAAATCCTCTCCCATCTCACAAAACAATGACACTGACTGCAAGAGGAAAGCCAAATCAGTGAGTGTGTAAGCATCTCAGCGCTGGCAGGGGTCTCCACGAGACTTCTTCAGCACCCAGGGCTGCATCAGGGTAGGTCCATGTGGCTTCTCCTCAGGGGTGTTTCACAGGAAGTGAGCCTTGCCAGCTGAAGCAGGGAACTTGTTAAGGCAACTGCACCCTAGTCAGACCATCAGAGAGCAAGACACCCAAGAACTGGAAAGGCAAGGCTCACCAAGCCATTTATCTCTCCACCCTTCAATTAATCCCACGTGTTTATTGACCAGGTTGGCACAATAAACTTTAGCTATCTCATTGATTCTCTAAATTATCAAACTGTAGTTGAAATAAAGATGTCTGTTAATTCTCTGAAGGCTTCCTTCCAAAAGTCTATGACAGTCTAGACTTTGAGCAGAAGCTAGTCCAAGGTAGATTCACTATTAATTAAAATCTATCTCTAAAAAATATGCAACTTACCAGTGATTTGCCGGCCACAGTGCTTGAGGGAGTGCCCAGAGATTGCCCCGGGCTTTGGCACTCTCGGAAGAATCCCTGTTACACTTTCTTTCAAGAAGCAACCAAACCTGTTTTTAAAATTGGCTTCACTTAGAAAGTAGAATCATAAATGAATACCAAGACATTCTCTAGCATTTTCTATACAAAGTAAATTAGCAATAGGAAAAAAAACAGGAAGACTTTTTCGTTGTTATTATTAAAATACTGCATTCTATTTGGTCTTTTTTGCTAAAAATAATGTTACTCTCCCAAAGAGACAAACTTCTTAAAATGCAACTAACAATTTCTCTGGTAAAGGCACCCAGAAAATAGTCCCATCCATGGTGAAGTTTCTGAAAGTCCTAGAAATGATTGGTGAGGACCAGTTTGGTAAAGAAACGTGGGTGATTTCTTATAAAGTTAAACATGTACTTTTCTAATGCCCCTATTACTCCACTCCCAGAGACAAGGACCTGCGTCTGACGATTTATAGCAGCTTCATTCAGAATAATCAGAACCTGTACACAACACGAATCCCCATCCACTGGGGAACAGATAAACCAATTCTGGTCCATCCATCTGATAAAGTACTGGAAGTATGATGTACTGTTGGGCCAATGGGTAAGTGCTGGTATGCTCATCTGCTGCTCTAATGATTGTAGCCTAGAAACCCTGTAAGGGCTGTTTCCCTCTGTCATCTGGGGTTGCTGTCACACAACAACAACCACATAAGTCATGAAAAGAACAAGTGAATGAAACATGGAGGGATATGGATCGATCTCATAGTACAATGTTCATTATGATTCAATTTGTATGCTATGCAAAGGATTTGATCTTGTCTGAAGAAAAGTTTAGCATTTGTCCATGTTTAGCTCTGAGGAGGTAATCTCTAAACATTTGGAATGGCCTTAAAATAGATATTTGTTTACATGAGGGTTCTTGGGCTTCACCAAATATCATCATCTAACAGTGTGCTTTAGGATGAGGTCTTTGGGTCATAAAGCATTAAGCTTTGAATATTCTCAACAAAATGCTGTTAGATTTCCTTAGGACTGTTTTATTTGCAAGGAGCTATGGTGGTATACTGTGGATGAGACATTAGTTTGCTAACCACAGGTTGGTGGTTCAAACCCAGAAGTGCTCTTGAGGAAAGATGAGGCTGTCTGCTCCTGTAAAGATTTACAATCTTAGAAACTCTGTATAGAATCATCATGAATCAGAATTGACTACAAGCAGCAGTGGGTTTGATTTTAGGCTAGATGTCATTTGCAAATGTGATAACGGGCTAGATGGTGTCTTTCCTTGTTGATTTTCTACATTTACCTGCTGTTGAGCCCTTTCTTGAGAAAATCTCCTAACCTAACATTTTTCAAGCATTTTCCTTGTGGCATTGGAGAGCAATAATTCCTTCCTACTACTAAATGTAACTATAGTGGATGATTAAAATGAAAATTCCTTGACCCTGGAGACCCTGATTCAGTAGGTGGAACCCAAGAATCTGTATATTTCAGAGCCATTTCCAGGGATTCTGATGAAATGCCTTTTAAACCCCTATGAAGAAATATAACTCACATGCTAAACCAATTTGTGCCAGTCTGATTCCATTCTGAAATGTGTCTGCCCTCTTCTAAAAGGAAATATCGAAGCTTACCTTTTCTGTGTGTTAGTAGTTGAGCTTGCAGGAAGAAAACTGAACAGCAAACACCTGGGATGGAAGGTGCACATCATCTGACAGTGCTTGTCATTTGGAGTATACATGGAGGTGATATCCCCACCCCGGAAGAAGGTATTCTTATAGCGCTGAGTCAGGCATTCTGTGATAAAAGCATTAAAAATATCCAAAACATTAATTTGCAGTAGATGCATACTAATTTTATTAGAAATTCACCTATCTTCTGTACCTTGTTCCAATGGACTATCCATCCAATCATTTTACTGATTGTAGAATAAGACCACAACTAAGGCAATCGTTTGAACAATAAGTAATTTTATTTAATGTCATTTCCTGGGTAATTCTATCTGAAAATCTTAGCTGATCTTTATTAAGTCACACAATAACAATCACACATAATTTCTCTTCAAGTCAATACAACTCCTGCTTGATTCTTCCCTGTGAGGTAACACGCTACGAAGGTACCATCCTTTACAAACAACTACATCACCTGTTTTTCCAAACTCGTTCATTATCAAGCTCCCTACTAGATTTTTACAACCATCCCAGAAGGAAAGCATTATTATCTGCTCTTGTTTTTTTTTAAAAGAAGTTACTTGAGTCTCCAGGTGGTTCAGGATCTGCCCTCAAATCACACCATTAATGATGCCCTGGGCCCAGGGGGGCATGAATCTGGCTCTTCAACTCCCAATTGTCTTTTCTTTTTTTCTGTTGTGAATTACTAACATTGTTCCTCACCTCAGTTCACTTCAAGCAAAGTAACGCTTTGGGGTGTTTATTGCATTAGGGGTGCAAGCAGAAGAGGCAGTATATGTTTAATATTGATCAGCTCATTTTTAAAGATAGTTTAAGCAAATGCCTGCTAATGTCAAATTGAAAACGTCTTTAACCATTTGCTCTTCAGAATTATGCACAGCTCTAAAGGGAAATTCACATATAATTAGATAATTGTGTGTTAGCATTACTGACTTTAATATATGAGCTTGAATTTACCTTGAAAGACCCACCTCAAAGTCTATCATAAAAGCAACTCACTCAGGTAACACATTCACTGTTGAGTCAACTGTCCATCAATGACAAACGTCCCAACGGCAGCCTTGCCCATCCTCTACTCTTCCATTTTGAAAGCATCCATTTTTACATGGTCGTCGAGGGAACAAGCAGCTTAGACAACAAGCATTCCCTTAAGCACTAAAGAGTAACCTTTTGTCTGCACAATTCTGTCTTCCAGGGATTCTGGTCCTGAGCTCCACTGTGACTTCTGATCCTAGCAAAATTGTTCATCTTCCTCTCCAAGGTGCACCTCAGATGACCATCCCCTGGATAGTTTTAGAAACAGTCCAGATAGCTTCAGGAAGACTCTTGTAGAAATCTAAGTGTCCAGTGGTTGATAGCGATTGGACATATACACAAATACCACAATAATTGATCCATAAGTAATGCTACTTGTGAAGAGGTTGAGTTTATAGGAAGTTGATGTTTTGGGCTGATTCAAAATTATCACATTTTCACTCCCCAAACCTATCCCAATGCACACACACGCATACAAACAGTTGCCAGTGCAAGCCCGGGAATCCCGCTCTGCGACAAGCTCTGTGAACCCAGCAAGGAGCCCCGGCCATGGAGGGGATGAGGCCGTGAACTGCTGAAGGAAAGGTGGTCAGAGGTTCAAATTCATCAGCTGCTCTGAAGGAGAAAGATGAAGATATCTGTTTCTGTAAAGATTCACCCTATAGATGTAGGAATCTTATTGATGACAGAGGGGGGGATTGTGTGTAAGTCGGCACACACAGGGGGATAACTCAATATATACCAACTTTGGGATTGAATGTCAAGAAAGTTCAAACTTGTGCTTATTCTAGGAAGTTGGTGGCTGTGATGACGATAATGATGACGGGCTAGTCTGTCTTGTATTTTACAGTGTATGTAAAGCAGCGCTACACAAATTCTCTGTGATGGTGCCTGCTTTCACATTGGCTTCAGTGGCCATGATCTTTGGGCAATTATTATAAAAAAACATTCTAAAGAAAATAATTCCAGGACCAATAAGAGGAAGAAAAACCACTCTATTTTAAAAAAAATGTGTTTCAAGTCAATGATGTTATAAAATAAATCCAAGTGATTGGTCCACACAAGAGCCCGGGTGGAATAAGAACTAAGCACCCTGCTGCTAATCAGAAGGCTGGTGGTTTAAACCCATTCAGGAGTGTTTCACAGAGGAAAGACCTTCTGAGAAACGTCTATGAAGATTTCAGTCCCGAAACTGCTCTAGGACAGCTCTACGCTGTCTCGTGTGGCTTCTGTGAGTCAAGAATCTACTTGACCCTACATAACAATAACAGGAATATGAGAAGTGTTTTTTAAAAAAATGAATAATATAAGCAAGCTAAAACAACTAGTTACCAGTTATACCTACCCCCCCAAAAAAGGTAATTGTGTAGACAATGAGTGTTGAGGTACTGATTTGGGCTACAAATGATAGAAAACCTAATTGAAAGCAACCAGCAGGAATGAGATGGAAACCAAAGGCCTAAGGTGGCTTGGCTTCAGAAGTAACGGGGCTGGTGGTAGTGCTTACCTGATTCCCTCATAGCGCAATTTGATTTCATCCTTTTCCTCTGTTCAAGGCTATTGCCACAGAGTCCTGGTGCCACAGTGGTTAACGCTCAGCTGTTCAGCAGTTCAAGTTCACCAGCCACTTGGTGGGTGAAAGATGAACCATCTGCTTCTAGAAAGATCCCAGCCTTGGACACCCTATGGGGCAGTTCTACTGTGCCCTCGTGGGCCACTATTAATTGGAATTTACTCAAGAACAACGTGTACTGTGCTGCTATTAGTTTCCAATACCGCATAGAAGCAAGATGGTATTAGTAGCTCATGGCTCGGCATTCACTGACATTTTAAGTTCGTCGGAGGGAAAAGACATTCTTTTTTATAGAAATCTGAGTAAAAGTCCTGTTGCAAAGCCTTGGCTCTGATGGTGTCCTTGTTGCCAGTAGGATGTGAATGCTCTCAGTTCAGGCTTGGTGGGTCTCAGCCCCAGCCCTGGAGTTCACAAGAGGTCATTGCCATCAGAATCACAAGGGCCTAAAACTGGGAAGTCGAGCAGTTTAGGGAAGTGAGAGCACTGTTTCCAGAAAGATGGGTAAGTGTTAGGCACAGAGCAGCACAGACCTCTGAGGATTGGCCTAAGGGTAGGACAATGAACATGCTCCTAGTTAGGTAGAAAAAGTCAATGTTGCAAAAAAAATTCTGACTTATAATTTCATGATATAGATAATGAAACCTTACAAAACACGAACACCTTTGTATCTCATGTTTTGGGGGTTTTGTTCTGTTTTGTTTTTCAACAGAAGTGACAATATGTATAAGAATATACATATAAAACAGCACCAGTAAGAATGCATTACTTTCCTAAGACATCATAGTAAAGTATCACAAATTGGATGATTTAAAATAACAGAATTCTATACTTTCACAGTTTGGAGGATAGAAATCTTAATTCAGGGTGTCAGTCGGGCCATGGTTTCTTTTGAGACACTAGGGGAATATCCGTCCTTATTTATTTCACCTTTTGGTATTCCCGGTCATTTCTTGGTTTGTGGTAGCATCAAGCTAACTTCTGCCTTCACCTTCAACTTTACATGGCTGTCTTAACTTCTGTGTCTCATCAGTTATGTTGGATTAGGGCCCAGCCTATTTTTGGAGAACTTCATGTCAAAAAATATAAATCTTGTTGCTTTCTCATACTTATGTTTTCCTGTTAATGACTGTCAGTACATATTATTAAATCTGAAAAGGTCCTTTCTCAAGTAAAGTCATATTCACAGGTACAGAGACTAGGACTTAAGCTTATCTTTGACGGTGGTACTATGAAGGAGAGGAAGAATAACAGGGAAAATGCTAAGTACAACAACAGAAGATAAATATTTATTTGCATTGAAACATCGTCATAAGCAGGAAAACCTGCATGATTTAAAAGTATCTATAATTAACATATTTGTAAAATATATAAATAGGTAGGTTCAGAAACACAAAACATGTATCTGAAAACCAGAATAAAAATGTTTAATCAGGGCTATTTCTAAAACCACAACTCAGCTTCCAGTTTTTTCCACTGTGGGGGCATGTGTGTTGCTGGGATGCTAGAAGCTATGCTACTTGTATTTCAAACACCAACAGGATAACTTATGGTGAACAGATTTCAGTGTAGCTTTCAGACTAAGAATGGCCTATGAAGAAGGAGGAGATTGTCCACTTCTGAGGAAGTAGCCACTGAAAGTCTTATGAATCTCAGAGGAACATTGTCAGGTATAGTGCTCTCCGGTCAGAAGGCACTGAAAATATGACTACAGAAGAGTGGCATTCCCAAACAACACTCAACCATAGTTACATGGAGAGAATAAAGATTTGGGGACCTTCATTTGCTGATGGGTCATGACTCAAAATGAGAAGAAACATCTGCAACCATTAGGAAAATTGGAAGTCATCAAAAATGAAACCGGCACATAAAGATCAATATCCTAGGCATTAGGGATCTGAAATAGACTGATATCAACCATTACGAATCTGAAAATCAGATGGTTTGCTATGCCAGCATGATAAATGCAAAGGTAATGGCATCGCATTCATCATCAAAAAGAACATATCAAGATCTATTGTGAAGCACAATACGGTCAGTGATAGGATAATATCTATATGCCTACAAGGAAGACCAGTTAACATAAGTAGCATTCAAATTTGCCCACCAACCACTAATGGTTTGATGAAGACATTGAAGAATTCTCCCAACTTCTTCAGTATGAAATTGTTCAAACATATAATCAAGATGTATTGATACATATTGGCAATTGGAATGCAAAAGTTGGAGACAAAGAGGAAGGGACAGTAGTTGGGAAATGTGGCCTGGGTTATGAAAAAGAAGCTGGAGATTACATGGTAGAATTTGGTAAGTCCCACAACTTTTTTATTGCAAACACTTTTTCCCCCAACAATATGAACTGTGATTATACAAATGGAGTTCTCCAGATGGAGTACCGATTTAAAACATCGACCACTAATGTGAGGAGACGTGATGAGCTGTGGGATGACATCACAAACCTCCTACATGAAGAAAGCAAAAGGTCATTAAAAAGACAGGGGAGAAAGTAAAGACCAAAGTGGATGTCAGAAGATACTCTGAAGATAGAGTGGTTAAAGCAGATGGAAAAAAATATGAAGTAGAAGAATTGAACAGAAAATGTCCAGGAATAGTTAGTGGGGTTGGGAGTGGGAGAAGTAGAGTATTATAAGGAACTGTGGAAAGACAAAAAGGAAGAATATGCTCAACATAGCTCAAACAAAAACAAATGAAGAAGAAGAAACATAAGTCTTGAATTGCAATATTGAAAGGTTCCCTGAGCAAAATATTGAATAACACAAAAAGCATAAAAAAAAGATGGGAGGGATTCTCAGTAGTTGTGCCAGAAAGAACTGGTTGATATGCAACCATTTCAAGAAGTAGCATATAATCAAGAACCAACGTTACTGGAGTCCAAACTGCACTGAAGGCATTAGCCAAAAACAAGGCTTCAGGAATTGACGGAATTCCCACTGAAATGTTTCAGCACACTGATGATGTGCTGGAAGGAGTCACTGAAATGTGTCAAGAAATGTGGAAAACAGCTACCTGGCCAACTGACCGGAAGAGACCCAGATTTGTGTCCATTCTAAAGAAAGGCGATGCAAGAGAAGGCGAAAATTGTGGAACAACATCATTAATATTACATGCAAGTAAAATTCTGCTGTAAATATTTCAAATATGATTACAGCAGTTTATCAGCAAGGACTTGCCAGAAATTCAAGCCAGAGTCAGAAGAAGCCATGGTTCTAGGAATATCGTTGCTGGTGCTAGATGAATCTTGGCTGAAAACAGAAGTTCCAAGCAATGTTTATTTGTGCTTTATTGACTATTCAAAAGGCATTCAACTGCATGGATTAAATAGAATATGGTTAACATTGAAAAGAATGTGCACAGCCACCTAGATAAGAGAGATTGGACAAAAAAATACATATATATGAGAAGAAAATAAAGGGAC